GGGGTAAAATTTTCATTGGGTAGTGAAATAAGTAGCTCCATTGAAAAAAATCTGTTTAGTGATTGGATCTCTGATGATATTCTTGCACTTTCTTGAAGGGTTACCATCCTTCGAGGGTTCTTACTCTCGTCTACCAGCCATTTGCCGTCGGATCAATTGCAATACTAGCATACTATGAAGCACGAATCAACACCAGGAAGCGAAACATATTTGGATATTGTCTTTTCTGTTTAAGTACTTTCATGCTAATAGTTGTGAGTAATCTTAAACCTTTTTCCTTGATTCCCACTTCTTCAACTCTTACTATCCTTTTTGTTTTTGGTCCAGACTGGTTGCTTCCACTAAATTTAGCTCTACTTTGATTTTGCTCTGCGACAGCTGGATTTAGCCACATCGGGGAAAGGAGGAATTGGACCATTTATTGGTATATGTGCAATAGTTGGTGCATTTGGGGTTGCAGATGCCCATGTTCAGGGCGGAATAGTTGGGGACTTGTCTTTCATGTGCCCTGAATTCATCCAGGTTATCGGATTTAATGTATTTCAATTTTGATCTTTAAACTTAGTTTTCTCACTACGAATTAATGCTTTGCAGTCCTTCCTCGCTGGCTTGGCTGCCTCAGGAGCTTTAACCTCTGCTTTGAGGCTGATCACGAAAGCAGCCTTTGAGAAATCCAAGGATGGTCTTCGTAAAGGAACTAGTATGTTACTGGTCTTTGATTTGCACAAATAATTCATATCAGAAGCTATATAATAAGACTCTCTGCTAACTAGTAGAATTACATAGACTTTTGGGCTGAAATTTATTGTGAACTTGATGTTTCCCTATCTGTTTGCAGTGCTATTTTTGGCAATATCCACTTTCTTTGAGTTCATGTGCATCCTTCTATATGCAACGATCTTCCCTAAACTACCAATAGTGAAATATTTCCGGGCAAAGGCAGCATCTGAAGGATCAAAAACTGTTTCAGCTGATCTTGTGGCTGCCGGCATCCGAAAAGCAGCAGCTCAAGGGGTACTGCAACTTGAATCTCATTATATATTAACAGATTATGGTCAATGAAATCAATAAAATTCGAAAGTTTCCAACAGCCTTTGGAATTTTTCCAGGTGGAGGATGATGCTAAACTCCCTGACCGGCTAAGCAATAAACAATTACTCTTGCAGAATATAGATTATGCCTTGGACTTGTTTCTGATATACGTGCTGACATTATCAATTTTTCCTGGGTTCTTGTATGAAAACACTGGAAAGCACCAACTTGGTGATTGGTGAGTTCTCATCTAGATCATAATTAGGCCCAGTTCCTTTCCAATCTTATGATTTTGCTTGAAACCCAGAAAAAATTCCATTGCTTTTGCATTGAGTGTAAACATATGATGTTTGAACTTTGAGTGCAGCCAACAATTCTTACCAAGAACAGATTACAAAATTCTCACATAGGTGATTGTGCTGTAGGTATGCACTTGTTCTGATTGCAATGTATAATATTTGGGATCTGATAGCAAGATATATTCCTCTCATTGATTGCATTAAGTTGGAGTCGAGAAAGGGCCTTATGATTGCAATTCTCTCTCGTTTCTTGCTCATCCCTGCTTTCTACTTCGCGGCAAAATATGGTGACCAAGGATGGATGATCTTCCTTGTATCCTTCTTGGGACTCACAAATGGTTATCTCACTGTTTGTGTCATGACTGCAGCACCTAAAGGCTACAAGGTTAGCTTGCTACTGCATGATATAACCCACTAAGCTTTATGATCCTCATTTTACTTACAAACTCACTAAATCTAATTGGGTTTTCCTCATTCTATAGGGTCCTGAGCAGAATGCCTTGGGGAATTTGCTTGTGGTATTTCTATTAGGCGGTATATTTGCGGGAGTTGCTCTGGACTGGTTATGGCTCATTGGCAAAAAAGACGGCTTTTAAGTATTTGAATGTTTGAGTT